CTTAAACCCAATATGCCATGCTGTTTTTAACATTTAACTGTTAAATGTGTGAAAAGCTTTAGGATTGTGGCTGAATGGAAGTCTAATGTTTTTGATTTTGCAGGGATAACAACACATAGTCTTCAATATACTTGTGGTTATAAGTATTAGCTTTATGAATACAGTTGTCTTCACCACCATACCGAGTGAACAAAGAAGGTATAAGTACCCTAACAATCTCTTGGATTTCATTTTTGCTGATGGTTCCATTCCCATCAACATCGTACAGTGCAAAGGCCCACTCCAACTTCTGCAGAGTCTTTCCCCCGGAGGTGAGGTGCAGAGCGACAATGTACTCCTTAAAGTCCAAAGTGCCGTCTGCATTGGTGTCGAAACTCCTGAATACGTGCCGAGCATACGCTGTGGGGTCCGCGTCAGGAAAGAAGCTGGCGTAGATGCCTTCAAACTGCTGCTTGCTGATCTTCCCGCCAGGACACTCCTTCAGGAACGACAGGTACCAAGTGCAGAGCTCGGCCTCTGAGTATTTTGTGTTCGATTTCAGCTCCTCCAGGAGGTCCTTCGACAAAGCACTGCTCTTTGTGTTCCCCATCCTGCGCAGAAAGTAGAAACTAACTTTCTTCTCTATGATGTGCAGTGAGTTACACCTCTGTGTGTTCACTTTGCTCTGCCTTGTGTTCACCCTGGAAGCCCCTCAAGGTGCAAAATGGGATTATGGTCATCACTACCTAACTCCAGACAGCTGTCGTAAAGATTAAGGGGATAATTACGTCACACCATTATGACAACTTTTTGAAGACACAGTTAAATGCTGTAGGTATAAGCAGAGGATTAAACACAACAGGTGGATAGAACTCTAAAGGTCAACATCTGGTAGGCCCTTTAGTCTTGTCCAGCATTATTACTAAAACTAGGATCGCATCTGCCATCTCTGGGCTTAGTAACTCACTATAATATTTAGTTACATCATGCTAAACATAAAAAATGATTGGTAGTAGGAGAAGCAAAGTAATCAAGCATTTGTTTTTGCCTTCATCCTGCTTTTCATCCATCCACCTATCTATGAGTCACTTTCTTGCCTTTTATCATCTATTCTCAAATATATTTTGT